GGGGCACGGGTGAGAGCTAAAACCCGGGAAGGCATCATCCGGGAGGAAGAGAGTGGCAGTGAGCTGGCTGGGGGATGGTTTTGTAGTGTTCTGGGCAGGGGAGGCTCAGGTGCCTTTGTGGGAGTCAGGACGAGAGTTACAGAACTGCTGTGGCAGTAAATAGGTACTGATGGTAAGTCAGAGTCCTAAGGATAGTGGAAAGATATTATAAGCAAGCGTAGTGGTGGAAATGCAGGGCTTGGGAAGGAGGGAAGAGGGAGGAGGGGGTGAGGAGGATGAGGAAATGTGAAACGGAGGGGAGGACAGGTGAAGTTGTTCATGGTCAGGGTCACTTGTGTTCATCTCAGTAAGGTAAAGGGCGGGTGCCGTGCTAGGCATGGGGCTGGGGGCTGGAAGACCATGAAGGTGCATCAGCGGGCCAACAGCCTCAGCTTAGAATCGAGCAGTCTTCCCAGGTCTCTGCAGGGGCGGCTGTAAACCAGTCCCGGGTTGGTTGGAAAAAGTGATGCTGGGAGCTACTCACTCTTTATTTTCTGTCCCTTCAGGAGTAGATCAGGCACAAACAGGGGAAGACAGCGAAGAAGAAAAAATATGGCAGCTGGTTAAGGAGCAAGAGCAGAGAGAAGAAAGAAGCCACAGCCTGCAGGAAGTGTTACAAAGGGAACGAAGAGAACTAGAAAAACTCAATCAACAACGGGTAATAATTTTAAGTACAGCTGAATTTCCCATGCTGGTTTCTGCATGGCACACCTTCAGTAAGCGCCGTGCTTTCAGGGAAGTGACACCTTTGTGTGTCCCCAAGTCACAGCCGTAGGTAACTTACAGTAAAGAGCCTGCCGTAGGCAGGAGGGCTGCACATGCACGCCTTGGCAGTCCGATAGTAAACGGGAGCTTTTGCAAGCCCGTGTGCGTGCATTCGCCTCTGGTCCTGAAAACACACCCGTGAAGGAGGTGGACTGTGCTTTGCTCTAGATCTTCCCTGTGTAGGTGCGGTTTATAGGTCAGCCAGCTGGGACCATGGGGGCCCCAGGGAAGTGACTGCCGGTCCATGGTGGCTTCCTCAGGCTCCCCCGCCTACCTCCTTCCTGATTCTCTTTGGCTTTCTGTGTCCTGATTGTGGCCTCAGACAGATGGATTAAGCTGGCCACTTCACACGCCAGCTGAATCTTACGTAAATTAATCTTACATGTGGAGGTTTCTTGCTTGAACTCCTGGTTAATTTGGTCCAAAGCACAGGACGCATGTTTGTCCCCCTTTGATGGTAGTAATGATGTCAATAGGAAAAAAAGGAAATAGTCTTTTTTTGTGTTAATTGTTGTTCAAGTACAGTTGTCTCCATTTTCCCGCCACCAATTTGCCCCCACCCTACCCACCCCCAGGAAACAGTTTTCTGACACACAGGTTTTACTTAAAGGAGTTCTTATTACCATGTGTTTTTAAAATGTGTTTCTATATTTCCTATTTCGATGGCCATCTACTTGACAGCGCATGATTGAAGAGTCACTGAAGATTGAAATGGAGAAAGAGTTGGAAGTGAGCATTCAAGACATGAAAGACACACCTGTTTGTGCTGAAAGCCCTTTCGAGAAATACATGAAAATCATCCAGGAGAATCAGGACCAGAAGAAGGACGATAAGGTACTGGTGCTGCGAACTGCTGTGTGGGGAGGGGCACGAGGGCTTCTGTGCTTTATTAGCAAACCTTGGGACAGGAATCCGTCTTCTCCATTGGAGACAGAAAGGTAAACGCAGAGGAAATTCGAAGTTCAAATGGGGCCACTAAGTTTTGTTTTTTTTTTAAGATTACTTATTTTTTTTTAAAGAGAGGGGAAGGGAGGGAGAAAGAGACGGAAAGAAATACCAGTGTGTGGTTGCCTCTCATGTGCCCCCCACCAGGGACCTGGCCCACAACCCAGGCATGTGTCCTGACTGGGAATCGAACCCGTGACCCTTCGGCTTGCAGGCTGGCACTCAATCCTTTGATTCACACCAGCCAGGGCTGAAGGCTTTTAAATATATTACACTCTGGATAATTTTTTTTTTTTTTTGCTTTTGCTTGAGTAAGAGTGAACAGATTTTGATTTGTCGAAGTTTGTAAAGTTGAGATGTGTCTTATTTTCGGAACAAGAATGAAATATAATGAAAGCCCTGTCAGTGAACAATGAATGCATCAGTGCTGTCTGAGACATTCAAATGCTGTATAAATCTGAAACACTGTGGGTACTGAGAATACACACTGGATAGTTTGATGTGCTTGCTAAATTTCATGTTTACAAGTCATGTCGTTTTTTGACTTTTCAATTATATGTATATTTCAGAAAGTTCTTAGAGAAATCAAAGTGTTTAATAAAGTTAATACATGTCTGATTTCAAAAGAATCCTTTCCCCCTCTGCATCAGAGCTCAGTGAAGATTGTCAGAGAAGTTTCACAAGTGGACACGCTTCCATCTACTGACAAAGACGAAAGGTATGGTTTCCCCAACCTAGTGTTCTTGTGAAGCCATTACCATGTTAATGGGTTTGTTGGCCAAGACAGCCCTTCAGATGTTGGAGTCTGCCTGTAAGAAATGGCTGAATCGAGTAATAAATAATAATTATGTTAATAAAATTAACATAAATTTTTGTCTTTTCTCAATTTAGTTTCCCAGCCCTTTCTCATGAAGAACCAGATGACTTTTGGTAACTTCGTGTGCTGGCCAGCCTTTTGCTCATGTAACAAGGAAAGGCCCATGACTTCTCTGTAATAAGGCAGACTGCTCAATAAAACTGTTTGTGCAATCCAGTGTGGTTTCTTTTTCATAATTTTATTTGGTGCTCTGGTGTATAAACCAAAAATAATCTATTCAGGTGACACCTTTTCAGAATTTCTTGTTCTTAGGCCTTTCATTACACTAGATTGAACAGCTCATTTTTTTTTCCATATTTGTGTTAGACTATATTTCCTTGAAAACGTATTGCTCAAATTCCTGCCCTGCATTTTGGAAGTTTCATCTGTGCTCCTTGCTCTCCAGAGCGTGGCTACCACCAGTCATACCCAGGCCATCTTTCCCAAGTCTGTTCTTCAGATTTGTCCCTGAAAATAAAGACACAGGTTTCTCCACTCTCGGCTCTAGAAATAGTACAGTGTCACCACTGGTCTTTACTGTTGGTGTCTATTTCTTGGGAATCGACGCAAACCCTTAGATGGTAGTAAGAAGGGAAGGTAGTAAGAAGAGCATGCCCATACTGGGCACTTCCTGTGTTACCTGTATTAACTTAATGTTCACCTCAGCCATATGAAGTGCAGGTACTGTGACCTCCCACGTTTTATAGATTAGGAAACGCAGAGCAGAGAGGTCGAGACTTGACCAAGGCTTGTGACCGTCAAGCTGTGGAGCCAGGACACCCAGGGTTGAGACCAGTAGTGCCTCTGGCCTGGCCTGTAGTGGAGCTGCTCCAGCAGAAGGCATCCCAGGACCCGGAATGGCTCACCCAGTAGGTGTTCCTCTCCAGAATGACCTTTAGAAACTACACATCAGCCAAAGGAAGGTAGCCGCACGGAAATGCAGCAGCAGCGTAACTTCCACACAGGTAAGAGGAGACCCGTTTGCTCTCACCCCCCCCCACCCCCGCTGCTTCATCTTTGTACACCTGCTGCTCTCGGTCCAGCATCTTGCTCTGGGAGCATCTCGGGCAGCGTGGGAGCAGTTCTTTAATGTAATGACACTGCCATTAGAGTCACCAAAATGTGTGCCCAGAACTGCTCTGAGGGTAAACCACCATTGCAGTCTGCACGGACTGAGGGATTTCCCAGGACATGAGACTTTCGGTGCTAACCAGTGACTGTCCCGTCTAGTGTGTTCTTAAAGCTAAAATTGTAGGCTGCATATTTATGGGTCTTTTTTTTTTAATTGAGTGACTCCGTCTTTTGATCAGAGAATTGAGTTCATGTACTTATTGGTAAGTATGGACTTACTGTAGCCATTTTGTTTTGTAATGCCTTTGTTTTTCTCCTTTTTCCTTTGTGATTTCATGATTTTCTGTAGTATGCTTATATTTCTTTATCTTTTGTGTATCTACTATAGGTTTTTGCTCTGTGGTTACCAGGAGCTTACATAAATCATATAACTCTCTTTTAAGCTGATAATAATTTTGAACATACATAAAAGTTCTACATTTATACAGCCCCTCCCATTTTGTTTTCGATGTCACAATTTACATGTTTTTATATCTTGTATCCACTAACAAATTATTGTATAGTTTTTTAAATACTTGTCTTTTAAACCTCATACTAGAGTTAAAAGTGATTTACCCACCACTATTGCAAGAGTATGCTGACTTTATGTATTTGTCATCACCAGTGAGTTTTATACTTTGCACGTTTTCCTGTTGCTAATTATTGTCTTTTAATTTCAGCCTGCAGGACTGTTTTGACCATTTCCTGTAAGGCCAGTCTGGTGATGATGACTTTCAGCTTCTGCTGCTCTGGAAAACGTTCTCCATCAGTCCTGAAGGGCAGCTTTGCTGGGTATAGTATTCTTCATTGGTGGTTTGAGTTGTATACCTTGGGTTTATAAAATAGCCAATGGCACGTGGACCCTTAGGAAGGTTCTTCCTTATTCTTTCCCCAAACTTAAGTTTTGTGTTAATGCCATAGGTTTATTGCTTTCATTTATTGAAGCTAGTCAGACAATTTCTGTACCTTTCACAGAGATTTGTAAAGTGTTCATGTTACTTTATGTGAAATATAGCCCAGTGGGTGACACCATTTTCTCAAATTGCTCTCACTTTTAAGTGATTTGTCAGAGATGAAAAAATGTAGCAGTCCCTTATGAACTTGATTTCATACAAATGTGAAATCTTGATGATGCATGTATTTACCAATGACGCCATACTGAGGACGAAGGTATTTATGTATGTAAAAAGGCAAATGAATGAAGCTATAATTTTATTTCATTTCTGTTAGTACATCCATAGCTATTTCCACCTAAATAGATATTTAAAATAAGCATACACAAGTATTGACTATTATCTACAAATATTTATTGTAACACTTGAATAGAACTACAGGAAGCCCTTGGCACTGATAGAAAATATTGATTCACTGTTAGGTTACAAAAATTTATACATAGCAAAATTTAATGCTCTTTACATAAAAAATATTAGACTACTTAAACAAAACTTTCAAAAATTCTTGGTAATAGCTACCAGAATTAGAAAAGTAAAATTAGCCTTTAGACACTGCTTCTTCTAGAACACTGGACTTGAACAGCACCTGCACTGCTGGAAAAAACATTAAAGTCTGTCATGCCACAGGAGAACAAATCACCAAGCTATTCTGGAACGACTGTTCTACACAGAAGAGAGCTTCTCCCAATTCAAAAAAAATAGTCAAGGTCCAATTAGGCATTTTTAGGCATTAACAACAACAACACAAGGAATCGAAATGAAATGTACTTGATGTTCAGTTTTAATAGCGTATTGATAAAGGTATGCTTCCTTTCATTTTAATACATTTCCGTACATGTATATGTTTTAAAATCCAGGAAACAGCCAAACCACAAGTTAATTCCTAACATGAATATACATAGTTAACCCTATATTATGCAGCCCCTTTTAAAAAGCACTGATGCACCCAACAGTTATATGTATCATTTCATAAAGAACAACACAAAGCCTACCATCACTAATACCCAATACCTATAGTCACTTAATGTTCTGGAACACGATTTAGAAGGCAAGTTTCGTTTGAAAATGGCTTAAACTCAAGCAGTTGTGTGGTTTTTTTTTTGTTTTTTGTTGGTTTTTTTTTTTTTGCTGAACATTGAACTTGATTATTCCAGAAAACTAAGATTTAGATAAGAAAACGTGAAATAAATACCAATGCTAATTTAAATTACTGAAGTATTCAAGTCTATAAAAGTAGGAGGTCTGTGGTCTGTTTGTAATTAGGTTTTAGATAGTTGGTATGAAACTGTAAACTCACTTTTGAGACCACATAAAAATGGTTTAGAATGGTGGTCATTTTAATAAGGTAACACTTCTTCACTAAGAAAAACATTTGTGGAAAAAATTCTATGGAGGATTTTGGGTCTCCCATTGTGATACAAGTGCTTAGAAATTTACAGCAAATACTCATTAAGGCAGAGCTGATATTTATTCTCCCAAGAAGAGTGATGACAAGTGGGTCATTTTATTAAAATAAGATCTTGTATAAAATTGACTCTGGAAAGCTTGTCAATGAGTCACAATTCAGCTTCTTCAGTGGTAGGTATAGCAGAATTTATAGTAGCACATTTTCGCATTATTGAAAAAAGATTTCCGATTGGATCATGAAATTATTGTGTCCTAGTCAGCTGTAAGAATTCTGTTATCTTTGATGAGCCACAGTTTAATAACTGTCAGCTGTCGGAAGTGGAACTTCACACCGATTCCATTTTATCCCCTATTAGATGCTTTGGAGGACAGAGAGCATACGCGGCTTCACGGCCTCATCCCCTGATGCCGGCACATCACGGGGAGGGAGCACGCCGCATTCTCAATGCCTGTCCTCGTAGGATTGCTCCGGCAGTAACCGCGAGCATGCCACAAATTTCCAAAGGGTGAACAATCGTTTTGTCAAAGTGTTGCCTTTTAAAATGGCTAACATGAAACCTCCAATACCTGTTCTAAAGAAAAAGATTTACCTACTGGAAGGTTTTCCTAGAAATACATCCCAGCAGCTTGAGACAGACAGTGAAGTGTTTGTAGTTCTACATGAGTTTGTCTGATGGGAAACACATCTGTACTGCAGGGCAGCTGTCTGATGATTTGTCAGAGCTGTCAATTCGTCGGCCGAAGCACTCGGGCAAACATTTATGTGTAAGAATTGAGTTGTTCTTTTGACCGGGACTGGATATCTTGCAGTTCCTGTTCTTCCTTTGCTTTGATATCCTGGTAAGCCTGCATTTTGCTTGCATCCTTTAAGTAAGCCCAGTTAGAAGACAGTATCATGAGGAAGTGGATCTGGAAAAGAAGGGTGAGCACGATGGCTAGTGAGCATGTCAGAGGCAAAGCAGGCTGCTAGGTAGATTAGGGTTTACTGTCAAAGGGGGAGAGGGTTATTCTGTATTAATACTTATTCTGCGGTCGGAGGCATCAGGTACTGAGAGCATGCTCTGCTAGTAGGCTTAATATTAAAAGGCTGAAGAAAAGTTAGTATACAGACATAATGAACTTGACAAAATGGCCAACGTTATTGTTAAGAAAAGGCAAAAATAAAATACAAGAGGGTGCTTTTTGCCATTTCGAGAGGAATTTTAAAAACTATTGCAGAAGTTCTGAAACACGGTGGTGGTTATTTTTAAATAAGTGCGGTGCAAAGATCTTTCCTATCTGTGGATAAAAATCAATTCCCCAAAAGGCCCAAAAGTGTGAACAGCGTTTATTTTTGAGTAAGTAATAAAAAACTACATATTTAACATGGAAAAATTAAGTGAACGTCAAAACCAAACTTAAGAACTATAAGCAAAGCATGCAGTTTCTGTGTTAACAAGTTTTTAGTAGTGAAACTACATTTTCCATTTTATAACTGCCATTGTTTCATTTCACAAAACGTAAAAAATCCTTATTGTCATTCTTTACAGTTGATGCGGTACACACTCCTTCCCATTTATTTTCCTCATCTTTCCTGCATAATCTACATCTCAAGTTCCTTGTATTTCATATCTCCTTCTCATCATATTTGAGACTTTCAGATCCAGGAACAATTTCTCTTCCCATTAAAATCTTACATGCAGTTTGAGACCTGGCTCTGAGGAATCAGTTACTACTCACCAAAACAATAATTTAAGGTTATCAGTTTTATGGGCTCTGAAAGGAAGGATTGTGCTTTGTCCAAAACAAAAAACCCCCAAAAAACCCCAGACATATAAATCCTTTTTTTTTTTTTCAGAGAAAACAAATACATGGCCTTTATTTTATTTCAAATTTCATCTGACTTACTGGGGGGCATTTATTTGGTAGTGAACCATGTAATCATAAAAAAATGAATCAAAATTAAAATATATTTGTAAACTATATTCCAGGAGGAGTCTGACAAAACAAAATCCAGAATAGGACGGTTCTCTTCCATTGTATCTTCACCACTTTTCATTTTCATCATTGAACTTGGTCACCAAGCCAGCAAAAATAACGGAAAATGCAGGTATTTCAGACTTTTAATACTTCATTTTAGAGACACTACTTAAAGTTTAAGTTCAAGAAAGTTATTTCTTAATGGGTGCTCAGAATGTCAGTAAATAACTGAATCCTTTTCAAACTGGGGAAATAGCCAGATCTCATAACGTTTGTAACTCATGTACGGTAAGTCATCTTATTAATCTCCCACGCCAGATGAGTTCACTAAAGCTATTTACAAATTACTGGTACGAAACCGCAGAAGCCTAGCGTCTGCTTTAGTCTGGGGCGTCAGTGATATTCCTGCTACATCGTACAGCCCTCTAAAGCGCCTTAGGGGGCTCATGTGATTTAGAACTTAGTGCAGCAGTCTTCCCGACTCTTAAACTTCAAAACCGCATAGTTATATGTGGTAGCCATCATGTAGATCAGCTGGTGGAAGAGAACAAAACAGGACAGTAAGATACAGGCAGTGAGGGCCGGTGCCACGAGACTTCTCGACTTGGGTGGGGAGGGGTGCCAGCTCCGCCTTAGGCATTTCTCTGTCCCACTTACAATCACAGCAGAAGACGCTCATGTCTAGCACACAGAACTTTTCTCATTCCACATCTGCTACATCGGCCCTCAGCCCTGCCCTCGGTACATTTATTAGAAAGACGAGGACGTGTTTGAAGAATGACAAGGTGGAGTTCTGGCTCAGCGGCATAAGGTGAGGCTAAACGCCCCTGTTTCCCTCATCTTGCCAAAGGGGCCCGCTCAGCAGCACTCAGCCCCCCCCCCGCCCCCCTGCCTGGTGCTCAGCGGAGAGAGCAGGCAGCAGCACAGAGAACGGGTCGGCACTGTGCCTTAAGGGGGGTTTCCTGTCGTGGGCTGTAGTGGGAAGGGGTGAGTTCGTGGTGGGAAGACCTGGGAGTGACTCATTTCCGAGCAGATGGGATGTCCCCCTTGCTCTCCCGCTCTTAGGCTTCTTGAGGTCATAAACCCAGCCCTCCCAAATTACATATCGATGTGCACATACCTACATATACCTGTTTGTGGTTCTACGGCTGATCCTCATTATTTGAAGATTCTATATTTGCGAATTTGCCTACATAGTAAAAATTTTGGTAACCCCCAAGTCCATACTGATAGCACCTTCATGGTCATTCGTGGACGTGTGCAGAGCAGCGGAAAAGTTAAGTTTCCCAGCAGAGGTTGACCAAGGTGGCAGGCACTGCCTTATTCCAGCTCTCAGTCTGTACACAAGTGTCCTTTTTGCAATCTGTTTAGTACCATGTTTTTGGTTTGTTTTTTTTTTAAGAGAGGGAGAGAAACATCGATGTGTGGCTGCTTCTCATGCACCCCCCACTGGGAACCTGGCCTGCAACCCAGGCGTGTGCCCTGACTGGGAATCGAACTGGCCACCCTTTGGTTCGCAGGCCGGCGCTCAATCCACTGAGCCACACCAGCCAGGGCTGTTTTTTGCATTCTTGTGATTTTACGTTTTAAATGTTCTCTGCTCAAAGCGCTGCGTGGTGTTTTTAAGTGCAAGAACATTGTGAAGCGACTTAACAAAGAAATTAAGTGTGCTGAGTGATTTTCATTCAGGTATGAGGCAGTGATTGACGTAGGCTGTGAGTTCAGTGTTAGTCGATCAACAACGTATACAAAATAAGGTGCCTTTGAACAGATGCACACAAAACAAGGCCGTATATTTGATTGGTTCGCCAGAAAAGGTGACCAGAGGCTTGCAGAAACCTAGGCCGGTGTGTCCTCCAGGAGCGGTGGCTCCGTATTTGTTCAGTCAGTGTTCGAGGACACTTTGCTGAGTGTAACTGCTTGTGCACAACAGGGTCAGCTCTGTAAGCATGTAGGTACACAGGCGTATTTCCCTTTGGAAACTGAAAGGGGCAGTGCCTTGCAGGGCCATTTGTCCCTGGCTCAGTATGCCACAGTGCAGTGTTCCAGTCCTAGTTAACAGGTGTTTGGCTCTCAGTACGCTTTCTTCTTTCCACAGAATCCGGCCTACATTGCCTACAATCGGCGCCAGGACAGCCAGCTAGCACACCCTGCAGTCTAGACATGTGGTAGGTTTACACGGGTGAAATTTGACCAACCTCGAGTCGTCCCAGGAGTGTTTGCTGGAAGGGAAACCTGCCGTTATAGAGACTGCTGGGAGGGGGAGCTAGACTGGGCCAGGCTTCGGGCCATTACTCACCAGGGCAATGACGGTGGCGCCAGCTCCGGCACAGGCCACAATGAACAGGTGATAGGACATGTAGAACTAGGAAAGAAGAGGGCACCAACATAAGCATTTCACGTGTAACGCTGTGTCATCCTCCTGTGCAGCGGTTTGCGGCAAGGCCAAGTGTAAGTGTGCGCTCCCGGCAAGCGCATTGGGAATCCCCCGGTGGGGTTTAAAACTCTGCCATGCCCAGGCTGCACCCTAGGCCAGTTAAATGCGAGTATCTGGGGGCCGGGCCTCAGCCATCGGTACACTGCAATGCTGCGTGAGGACGCACCGTGCAGCCAACGTTGGGAGCTTCTGCTTTGAGCCAGGCTACACTGTGGATATACAGACTGACCAGCCAGGTCAGTAGGGGCTCACTATTTTGCTAAGTGATTGCTTTCTAGAAGCATGTTAGGACTCTCTTACACAGGCAGGCTCCCACTGGTACAGTTCAGAGTTTTATAAACAGTTATAAACCAGTGCCTGAAGAATATTCTAGGGCCCAGAGATTTTAAACCAAAGTGTGTTAGGATTTAGTGCCAGTTAAGGGTGAACGAGAAATAAGAGCAAATCTCTCTGGAAATAGAAATGATTAACTGTGACTTGATTGATAAAGATTTGGCTTGCATACAAATACAGGGGAATCTTTGATTAATTTGCACTTGTTCTGTGACAAATGTTCTAGTTTGAAAAACTATCTGAAGGTGAAAGAGAAGAGTCTATATATATATTTTCAGATGTGCAGGATTGGGATCACTCTCAAATTATTTGCCGAAAGAGGAAAGCTTTCTCATTGCTAAAATCCTCACTGAATGGGCTGGACCAAGTGAAAGGGCCATTTTCTAGGTCAAAGATGGCTGAATGTTGGTGGTGATTACGCACAGTTCACTCTTTAAGCGTCTGCAAAAAAAGGCTTCCCAGGGCAGCATTTGCGCTCTCCTTCCTGCTCTTTCTCCGCAGGAGAAGCGACCTTCTTTTTGTCAGGGGTCCTCTGTGAGCCTGGGACAGGAGAGGGGTTTACCTCATTTGTGTTGCAGATGTTCTCAAGGGCGGAGCCGCATATTTTTCCTGGGAGGGCATTCCAAGGAATGATACCTGTGAAGTGAAGGTCAGTGGGACGTTAGGCGTCAGTGCGCACTACTGCAGGGCCTTGCGCTCTCCACGGCCCTCACCGGGTGGGATGCTGAGAACACTGCCCTTGCAGGCTGCCCTTCTTCCTCAGCAGGGCACAGATCTGCCCTCTGCAGGACAGGCTTCTCGGAATAATGAACAAGTCCCACCTGGGCAGTAGGGCATGGGCAAAGTCAACTAGTCTTATAGACTTAACCCGATGCTGTTTTTCCTACACATTATTTAGTTGTGTTGTTTAGTGCTTAGTGCTTTGTTTAGTCGAGCTGGTATCCATAACATTTTTCTTTCTTTAATTTTTTATGTATTGACTTTATTGAGGTGGCATGGGCTAATAAAAATTGATTTTCAAAGCTAGGTTTTTCCTCATGTGAATTGATGAACTATAGTTATGCAGCTGCAGGCTGACTCCCCCCCCACTTCTAAAGCACTTCCTCATGCTGAGGTCAGGCCCATGTCCCTGTGATTTCCTGGTCTGTGGCCCGTCACCAGACTGTTTGTTAGCAGCTTGCCATGACATAACTTCCCAGATTGCGAGTCTGTGCTCAGAAAGTTCCGTGGCAGCTTGACAGAGTAATTTATGCTCATGTTATATAATTGGGGCTTGTATCTTGTATGTCTTTGCTTTTATATTCATTTCTCTTGTGTTTTACCAAATGCATTGGAACCACTTTGGGGTTGAAAGCCCCGAACTTGGTCACAGAGAGTGGGGCCGGCACGGCCTGAGGTCTCTCGCTGTAACCCTGACTCGTCCCTGCAGCGACGGGGCCCACTGGGAGCTGCTGCTCTCTTCGCCACTAATGAGCAGGTGAGTGCTTCCGTATGAAACACAGTGCAAATTACACATGTCCGCGGGCGCAAGGGAGGAGGGTTACAGAAAGGAGCCCTTGGTCCCATCCTTCCCGTGGGTCAAGACTAGGTCTCCCTAAATGGTCAGTGAAAACAGTGATTTCAAATACACACTTAAAAAGATGATCACCAATGACCCAGAATATGTAGTGAAAATGTTTAAGAGTAGGGCAACGATATACATTTAGACAGTCATTTACAAATACCTTAAAAATCAACTTTAGCCCTGACTGGGGTGGCTCAGCGGGCTGGGCATCGTCCCGCAAACTGAAAGGTCACTGGTTCGTTTCCCAGTCAGGGCACAGGCCTGGGTAGCAGGCCAGGTCCCCGGTTGGGGGGCAAGAGAGAGGCAACCGACTGATGTTTTTCTCTGTCACATTGATGTTCCTCTCTCTCAAAAAATAAACATCAACTTTAGGCACTGTTTTCAATCCATCAGGAAGAACAGTGTGGTTGAACCTTGGTCTTTATGAGAAGGGATGACGATTAGGCGGGTGGGCAGTTTTTGACAAATTTCCTATTATGTCCTAAGGTAAGAGTCCGAGGATAAGCCACATGGGAAAAACAAGCAAGAAAAATGAAATAGTCATCTCTTTCTCAAAAAGCTCTGAAAGAACAGTTATTTCCTCTTTGATTCTAATGAAAAGCTTTTTTTCTATTTGTTTCTGCCAAGCACAGGATTTCCTGCCATCCTGGCTAGAAGCACTAATTACACTCCCTACTCAGGGGCCGCTGCCTTCTCTCAGCAGGGAAGTCAAAGCTCAAATTAATTGACAGGCGCAGCAACGGCCCCTTCTGTGCCTTGTCAAAATGCACCAGCCTTAGCTGCCTCATTGGAAGGGTCCCATCCCTTTGAAAATATGCTTGAAAATATGTTTGAATCTGTTTCCAATAGCCGGCTTTTACAGAATATATTCCGATGACTTTAAAATACATTTGGATTTTATGTTGTGTTTTTCAGTATAGATGAAATGGAAGCAGGCGGTCATTTAAAAACTACCCGCTTTGAAGGGCCTGACATATAAAATAATTTGGATATACAGTACATGCAGTATTGTAGATAGAAAGCAAGATGGTACAGAACTGAAAAATTGAAGAAGAAAATGCATAAACTTTTTACAGCGACCATCCAGTGGTCTTTTTTTGATTGAACTGCATTATAAAGTAGCTTCTCATCATAAAAAGTGTTTTACTGCATATTTTGAAAAACACAACAAAATTCTGAATGGTGACCTTTGGCAAGTAAGAGCCTAAATGGGCTTTTCATTGAGAAATGGAGCCTGCTGAGGGAAAGAGTATACACCATGGCAATAGAGGAATGTATGCCCGCGATCACAGCGGTGACTAGATGCCCACGTAATGACTGAGGTCCAGGTGCACGCACGAGAGCAGACACAGTAATGGGGGGACTAAAAGGGAGCACCGTATTGTCGGATATCCACGCAGATCTGCTCCACGCCGGTGGTCCCGTTGGTCTGGGGCGACTTGATGACTTCACAGGTTGACCATATGTTGTAGAACATAAACACGGGCACTGCGGAGAAACCAAACACGCCGAGCCAGGCCACTCCCAGCACATAGGTGAGGAAGACAAACTAAGCCAAAAAGGAGAAGGAGAGAGAATCATCATTGAACCCGCGCCAAGGCGCATCCCTGGGGGGGAATGATTCTGCGTTTCCGACCCAATACGGAAGCTGTGGGATACGTGCAGTTCAGAGCACTGCCTGGGCCCACAGTAGCGACGAGGAAGAGAAGAACCGAGAGCTGGTGGCTGGGGCAGGGTGATCACGCTCTCCAGAGCTATAGGATGGAGAAGGTTACTACCTGGTAATTGAAAGTCCTTTTAACAAGGACCCAGGATCCCCAGAGCTGATCTCCCCTGTCCAAGATCACAGCTAATGAGTGACACAGCACCTCCCACGTGGCCATAAACATGAGTTCCGTACTTACCCCGGGACGGGGTCTGGGTGGTTTCACAGGCCACTTGAATTATAACTTCATAGTATTTTACCCCAAATTACCTTTATTTTACATAATAGGTGGGTGGTATAATAGCAATTGCTATGGGAAGTTCTTTTTCAAAAAGAACCTCACTAGATTCATGGTCCTGTGATATTACTAAGAGCATTAGATGCTTGAACCTGTATTAAAGATTTAAAACAGCCTTGAACACAAGCTTAATGCTCAGTGACTCTTGATAAAATTCTCGTTTCCCTCCGGTTGTTTTCATCTTTAACATTCACAGGAGCTCTGCAAGCAAAGCCCTGGCTTAGGACAAAATCACCCCGTGCACCCGCACGTTGCCGTGGGCAATTTCAGGAAGAATATAATCCCATTGCTTTACTTTCTTCCTAACCTGCCTTGACTACCAATTTCTTTGAAAGGCTGTTTAAAACACATTGTGGTATTTATATTTTGAGAACGTGCACCCACAGAGTTGTGTGGGTGCAAGTTTGGCATCCAGGTTTGGCTTTTTACTTTTTCAAGCTGATGCCGGACTTGAAGGTTCCATTGACCTTTCTGTCCTGCAGGAAATACCTGGATGGTGCCAGCTTGGCCTTGGGGCACGCTTAGATGGGCCACATCCTGTAGGTCACCCCAGGAAACTACAGAAACAAGGCATTTTATCTCAAGGACGTTGACACTTTTGGAAGCATTTGCATTTCTAAAAATAGTCAAAGACAGATTTCAGCAGTTTCCCAGCCTTCCTCCCCAGCGCTTACAGACTGGCTACTCCAAACTAGGCTTGCTTTTTTTTTTTTTTTACCCTGCAGAAGAAAACTTGACTTTCTCTCTAAGAACACCACGGAGACTTGAAAAAGGGGGGCTGGTGGTTCTTTGCTTGGTGAGCCTTGGATTCCCGCAGCGGTGAGGGCCCCCCAGGGCAGCCGGTGCCCAGTGCGGAGGGCCTGTCACCCGAATTCAGAGTAGCTTTCAGAATAGGCATTCAGAATTCTGGCCTTAGCGACAGACTGCGAGTGGTCCGCAGAGCCCACACTGCCCCCTCCCCCCCCCCCCCGCCGGCCCTGTGCAGACAGGTTTGCTGACCTCTGGTCTAGAGGAGAACAAAGCTTAAAAAGAGCTCATTAAAAGGCATGGTGGAGGGCACCAAGGAGAGGTTGCAAGGCTACTAGCATGCATACACCTTGATGTCCACAGTCCACGTGCAGGACGTGAAGAGCAGCGTGGAGACAACATGAAAGTTCCCTCCCTTCACAGTGGGGACCTTACATGTGAAAGCTCTTCAAAACCCTCACTGCCTGTACCTCGGTGAGGGAATGTTAGATCCCATACAACCAGCCGTAGATTTGAGCTTCTGCTCAATAATGCACTGAAGGTATTTTCATATTCCTAACTGTAATGGTTAAGAACAGCACAGGCATACTCCGCTGTTACTGAGCTTCACTCTATTGCTCTTCACAGATGCCTGTTTTACAAACTGAAGGCCAGACCCTCCCCCCGCTACCCCAGCAAAAATGACGACTCGCTTGGTGGCGGTCCTCCACTGCGGTGGTCTGGAACCGAACCCGCGGTGTCTCTGAGGTGTGCGTGCCTGAGCGTGTCAGGACTCTGCCTGCACTCCGAATTACCTCGTAGCTTTTCCTGGCTACAAAGGCCTACAGAGAGGTGTGGCTCTGGCTGTGGGTCCGAGAGCCCCAGGTGGGCACTCACCATTCCGCTGATGCACCGGCCGCAGGCGGTGGTTTTAAACTCCCCGTGCAGCTCCTTCACGGCGCTCGTGGTGTAAAAGCCCTCCGCCAGCAGGATGATCCCGTACAAGAAGAAGAAGGACGCGATTCCGTAGATGACATACTGCATCAGCTGGATTCTACCAAAGGGAAGGGCGAGAGCCAGAAACGTTACATCCCCTGCATGGTGACCAGATGATGTTTCAGCCTCTGGAGTGGGGACGTGGGACGTCTCCTGCCCCTCTGGGGGCTGCACTGGGCTTGGGGGGCATTCCGGGTGGGCGTGCTGGCCCACCCCACTGCAGCCTGGGCCTGCCTTCCAAGGCGGGCCCACTGTTGGGGTGGACCACATTCCCAGACACGGGGGCTGCTGCCTCCCATCAGGGGCAGTTGTAATCTTGGGGTACTTGACCCGAGTTCTGTGCTCTGGGGGGTCGTTAGACTTCTCGTTTTGCAAATAAGTAACCCCAGGCACTGAGGAGTGGAGTGACTCACACAAGGATACAGAGTTAGTGGCAGAGCAGCACCAGAACTCTGCTCCAGGGGACACCGTGTTCCTTCTACCGTATCAGACGCCTCCCAGCCAGGCCTAGTGGTTCATGTTACCCTGAAAAAGCCCCTAAGGACGCGCTCAGGGAGTCCATAAGTAAAACCTCAGGCAGATGTTTTTGGCATTGAAATTCCCACTATGTAAGTTTCAAGTAGCTTTAAGGTACGAAAAGTTAATTCACAACTAATTGTGCCCTATGAAAGCTGATGGACCCACATGGCGGTTCCTCAACCCTTGGCCACCCACTGGGGAGCTTTAGGAAACACTGGTACCCGGGTGCTGTCCCCAGAGATTATGACTTCATTGGTCTGTGGTGCAGGGCGGGCATGGGGAGTTTTTAAAGATTCGTGCAAGTTTGAGAGCCGCTGCTCAGGCTTACTGGCTACGTGAAGCAACACCCCTTTCCCAGGTTCAGTTGTGGTAAACACTCCTGGTCTTTGCACACAGTTGTATCCATTCAGTAAGTCCCGTGTGCTGCCTGATTGTCCTTACAACCTCCCCTACCTCTGCTCCTTGGTTTGGATGTCATTCGTGAAAAATAAAGAGTAAAATTCCCTAAGGACTCGTCCAACATGATTTCATTACTGCATAAAAATTCCTTCACGCCTTTTCCAGTCTGCCGGAGAAGTCTCTTATAACCACAAGACACCTGAATACTGGGAGGTTTGGGGAGTCAAGGAAAGACAAACAGACAAACCACTGAAGGCAGTGGCGAAAGGGGAAAGTATACGAAGGAATCAGCACACTGCCCCCGAGCCCGTATAGTTAAGACAGTCTGCATGGGAGTAGTTGGGGCTCCACTGAGAATCACTCCAGACTGGGGAGGCGGAGATCTGGGGCTCAATCCACCAAACTTCCCCTTTCGTGCATCGGAAGATGCTCTGGGATTTGTTCTGCCTGAAGCATTAATGCCCAAGTCCTGTTCCTATAGAATTAGAGGGGAGTTAGTCCTCAACAGGGTTCCTATCATTCCCAAGGATGGCCACTTCCTGTGCGGCCACTGGAGGGCGCCTGTTACTTGGGAACCACGATAACTGCGGTGTGATCATGGGCAGCATCAGCCTATCACCCTGCCACAGCCCCGTGTGTCTGCAGCTACGGTGTGCGGAGTGTCCTGTGCGTGCACCCTGCCATTCTCAGGTGGCGTCCCAAACACCTACTGCATTCTTGGCCCTTCCCTTTCCCTTCTCTCGTGGACCTTTTTCTGTCTGCATATGGTGAGCCTTCATGAAAAGCATCAGCTTCCTGCCAGGAGAGCACCCACTAGCCTTTAAAAAAAAACATCAGGGGGTGGTTGCATTTTCAGTACATTTGTAAAGGGAAGCAGGTACTTACACCTCACTCAGCAGGGCGTGGTCACTGGTGTTGGTGGAGAAGTGTTGCTCAAGGATCGCCACGGTGCCCGCGAGAGCCACGTGTCCACAGCCACAGAACAAGGCGACCCCAGAGAAGCAGAGGATGGTGGCCACCAGAGAGGCATAGGGGACTCCTCCCAGACACTTGATGCAGCATTCGAAGCAGCCTGGACCCAAAGGAGAGAGAATGCTGCTGTAACAAGCAAAATGCCTCTCGGTCTTCACGAGCACCACATGTCAGCAGAAAAGGTTCTACTTTTCCATCTTCCCCCTCAGACTCTATGGCTAATAGCGCAACATCCCGAGGGCCAGTGGCGGTAATTGTCATCGTGTCATATTCTCTGTGGGCCAGGACCCTGGGGCTCCAAGAGGGAACATAGCTTAATTTGCTTGGGATGAGTGGCCGAGCAGACACTGACAAATAATTATGCAGTAAGCCGCAATTCTAGAGCTTCCCAACCGACCCAGGGGTGATGGGGGGGGGGACCTGCTCAAGTGACAATGCAGAGCAATCATTCCTGCAGAAGAGCCACCATCAAGTTCCCCGCAACCCCCAAACTTCTGGAGTTTCTAGTACTTCTATTTCTGTAGCAGCCAATACCTTTGCCCAAGCCGTTACCTCCTGGGCAACCAGAAGCATCAAATGCAGTCATTATACTGTTGCTGCATTCAGAAAAATCTCAACGTGATCATTTTGGAAAGGGGACGGGTGTTTTGGTCCCTAGAAGAACAAAGTCACCAAGATCCACTCAAGTGGATCCCCTCAAGTTTCATTCATGTCATTATCAGAAATGAACTTTGTCATAAAAATGTCCCCCAGCCCAAGCAGCACAAGCAGTTTAGTCACAGTTCTCCTCCTCCTCCCCAGCTTCCATCTGCCCCCTTCCCCAACGCACGCGTTCAAAATAAGAACCCAGAACTGGTGGGTGACATTTACGTACTTGAAGAAGGAAAAGGAACAGAAGGGGGAAAAAAAAAGACAAAATGAGCATCCATGAAGTGAAATGAAGGAGAGAGAGCCACAATCCACTCTTCATCTTGACAAGAATGACTTTTATCCATGTTCAAAATAAACTTCGGACTTTCTGTCCGAAGACTTTTATGTTTCACTAGAGCAGCGCTGGCCTCAGGATAATGTCACTACCTCCCTGACCTCCTGTCCCTGTTTATATTATCCAGGCCCTTAAGTAAATGGCTTGTCAGAGAGATCGAACTCTGAAGGCATTATCAGGTCTAACGGCAATCAAGGGCAGTTCATTACTTCAAAGCGAGCACATTAAGCCAGCTACATTGCTTCTCCCCAAATGCTCTTTACAGTGGACAGGGAATGACTACCCAGCAGGAAACACTGGAGACAGGCTTTTCCATTTTGATGAGCACCCCATTTTAAGCCAGCATTTGCTTAAACCCACCACATTACCAGATTTCTCTTCAGTTCATTGGGAAAAAAAAAAAAAAGTTGGGACTTTATAAGAGAGTGCATTTCCTTTTTATTTCAGAAGATGGCGTGCTGTTTTCACCAAGACCTACCTCCCTGCGATGGATTTATGAAACCAGACAAAAGGGGAACCAGTGCACAATGCAGTTCAAGTTCACTAGCAAGTCAGTACCTTAAAGAGCTTCGGACACTTGAGATTTGTGAACAGGGATGATGGAGTTCCATTGCATTTTGTTATATGACTTTCTGGGGGCCGAGGTGAGGGGAAAGACTTCAACTAAAAGTCCAGGCTCCTAAACCAAGAGAAATCCCCAGGCTCAATGTGCCCCATTACATAAAAATCCCTGGCCTTGCCCAGGCCGGTGTGACTCAGTGGACTGAGCACTGGCCTGCAAACCAAAGGGTCGCTGGTTTGATTCCCAGTCTGGGGAATGTGCCTGAGTTGCAGGCCAGGTCCCCAGTAGGGGGCGCATGAGAGTCAGCCACACATTGATGTTTCACTCTCTCCATCCTTCTGTCTAAAAATAAATAAAATCCTTAAAAGAAAAAAAAAATCCCTGGCCTCAAGGTGTCCCATTACATGAGACAGAATCGACCTGCGTGTGTTGTACCATTCACAGCCTCCCCCACTCTCAGTCCGCACGACGTGAGGAACAAGATGAATGTCTGCCTCCCTGGCTAACAAAGTTACATCTGGTCCTTATTAGATAGAGATGTGTGACCTCGAGACTTGTGCTGTCCAGGACAGTAGCCTCTCGCTCTTGTAACTACTGACATTATTTACAATTAAATAAAATGGTAAATTCAGTTCCTCAGTTGCCCATTTCGCATGCTCAGGAGCCACATGCACTAGTGGCTCCCCCTAGTGGACAGAGGCAGACATAGAACCTTCTATCACCGCGGAACACAGCTCCGGAAGATAGTTTCACTTGCCATGTATTTGATTTTTGGTAACGCGACCTGGGTTCCGAGTTCCACTTTGGGTTTTATTCATTCAGTATTTTTTGAAGACCTACTGGGTGCTAAGCAAGCACTGTGCTTGGCAGTAGGGATGCAACTATGAAATCAGACATCTTTGTTTTCAAGGAGATCAGTCTAATGCTGCAGGCAGACACATAGCATAATTATTATAGTGCAGCATGATAAGCTATAGACTGCTGGAGAGCCAGTGGGTGGTGGGCAGGGATGGGGAGAGAGAAATGTAGTTCCTACTGGAGAGGGGTTACAAAAGGCCTTCTACAGAAAGACCTAGCATGCAGAACACCGCTGACATGCTGACACTGACATATAATCTGATAAAGTGCTCATTCATTCTTAAATGTTTATTCCTACTTTTTAAAAAAGATTTTTATTTATTCAAGCCCTGGCTGGCGTAGCTCAGTGGATTGAGCGCGGGCTACGAACCAAAGTGTCTCGGGTTTGATTCCCAGTCAGGGTACATGCCTGGGTTGCAGGCCATGACCTCCAGTAACTACACATTGATGTTTCTCTCTCTCTATCTCCCTCCCTTCCCTCTCTAAAAATAAATGAATAAAAATCTTTTTTTAAAGATTTAATGAATAAATAATTTTTAAAAAAGATTTAAATGAATAAATAAAAATCTTTTTTTAAAAGATTTTATTTATTTATTTTTAGAGAGGGAAAGAGAAGGAGAAAGAGAGGGAAAGATGTATCAGTGTGTGGTTGCCTCTCTCAGCACCCTGTACTGGGGACCTGGCCTGCAACCCAGACATGTGCCCTGACTGGGAATCAAACTGTCAACCCTTTGGTTCACAGTCTGTGCTCGATCCATTGAGTGGCACCAGTCAGGGCCATTCCTAGACATTTTTGTGTTATATGTGTTTATATCTATTTTGAATAAACCCACACCCTTTCCCATTATGTGCAGCTAGGCTCGATGTTACGGCATTGCACACTTGCCCTGTAACAATAGAAGTCATCCTTCCAGATCCAGTTGCCACTTCAAAAGTCTTTCATCCAAAAGGTTATAGCATTCTGCTCCTTTCAAAGGGAAAATCACAGCTGCTCCCTGACTCAAAAAGACAAGTGGGGTTACGAGAATGGTGCTGCTCAGACCCAAATTCCGCACTAGATCAAGGCTAAAGGTTTCCCTCCAGTTTATATCTCTCAAGGACTCCATACACCCCACGCTGTGCGTGTGGTTTTAGAACAGCAGGGGGAACCTGGCACTCAGGAATTTGGGGGATCACACCAACGAGTCCTAGTCTCTCAGCAGATGGTCTCATTTTTGCCTGTGGGAACTCTGGCTCCTATGGAACAGAGCTCACCATACTGGTCATCATTCCACACGCACAGATGAAACTCTTAGGGACCCTGCCGGTCAATGTGAGAAGAGGCTTATGGAATAAAACATGGGAAAGATTCCTAGGAATAAATTCATCTGCAGGGCTGAAACACACAGTTTCACCCACCTATGTCCACTGTGCCTTCCATGTCCATCTAGAAGCTCTTCCTGCCCTCAGCGTGTCAGGTGTCTGAACACTGGGCACTTTGCTCGTGGGCCACCTACTTTTCCCAGAGCAACCATAACTGCTGCGAAAAGCAAAAATAACCTAAACACGTTTCCTAAATATGGCTATCATTACTGTTTGTGCCCTCACGTTAACAGCATTTCCGACTTGAACACCGTGAACGCATGTCTGCGGCAGAGGTGGTGGTAGAGGCCATGATGGTGACGTGATCCGGACAGTCCTGTGGGGCCCTGGGCTCAGTTTAATGCCCTGCTCTTGCCATGTTGAAGTTCTTAACAATTTTTGAACAAGGGCCTCTGCATTTTCAGTTTGCACTGAGCCTACAAATTATGAAGCCAGTCCTCGATGCATTTATGTGGGAGGAGGCAAGGGGGATTCTTTTCACTCTATATGTGCACAGTTGCATTTTATTTCCCTTCACAGTGTTAGGAAGAAATACAGCCTAGAGAGGCAGACGTCGCCTTGCCTACCATATCATCCTGATGTAGAGCCACCACCAGATTCTATATAAAGGGACGACCTATGTCCTAGAATTAATGAGCTCCCCTTCACTTTCAGAGAGAGGAGCCATGACCCACCGTAGTATCCAAGAGTCCACAACTCAGTTTTCCTAAACCAGGGTGAGCCGGTAGTTCTGTAGTATGGGAACAGCTTACACTCATTTATTCACAAGCTGCGGCCATTTCCCCCTACAATGGTCGAGTTGAATGGCTGTCACACAGTGTATTGCTTACAAATCCCGAAATATTCACTATTTACAGGAAAAATTTGCAGACTCATATCCAGGAGCACCGATATTCAGAGTGTGGTATCAGAACCAGAAGCATCAGTATCACCTGTGAACATACTAAAAATGCAAAGTCTTGGGTTCCACCCTGGAAACTGAGGAAGAGGTAGACCCAGTAACCTGTGTTTTAACCGGCCTCTCAGGACATTTTCACATAACTTCGCTCAAATTTGAGAAGCGCTAGCCTAAGAAATCATGCAAGCTCTTTACTGTGTCAGTTCTACCGGCTTTTTTGTTGCTGTTGTTGTTGTTACCACCCAAATTCCGCTGTAATAAAAATCGAACTCCCCAGAATGATTCCTTGCTTCTGGCTAAGATGGATTAACAGGGACCTAATTCATTCTCCTGCCCGAAACAACTAAAACACTGGACAAAACATATGAAACCATGGCTTTTGAGATATTAGACATTGGGCTCTGGAGAAACGGATGAGTTGGTTATTAAAATACT